AAAATGTGCCTCAAGTTCTTCATTCGTAAAGTCCCAATTTCTCATACCTTCATTCGTCATATCATATGGCCTTTAAAAACCCAACTTTGAGAGAGGTTTTCACATTGTTGGGAGTGATTAGAGATGTAGACATTGGTGTTTACAGGTTGGGTCTTTAGGACTTTCCAGTGAGAGTTTGTTACCAATGAGGAACATTGGTAAATTTGAAGATAAATGATTTTGATGATGTTGAAAGACGATAGACTGTTATAATTGTTTTAAAAGCACTTTGTAGATTATAAATGTATTAGGAAAAGCCTTAAACATGTAATACTTAGAAAAAATTCATATTTCTAGAACTGTTACGCATTTAATCGATTATTAGAAGCTATAATAGATTATCCTGAGCCCTTCTGAAAAACATCGTTTCTCTGGAATAATCGATTATTACTCCAAATAATCGATTATCACTAGTTTTGATTAGAACTGCCAAAGTCTCTGGAATAATCGATTATTCCTCAGGATAATCGATTATCACTTTTGAAAAACCTTGTAACGGACTCAAATAATCGATTATCACTAACAATAATCAATTATTTGTGGCAGATATAATTCATCTCTGCGAACTTAGACCAGTTGGCTATATAATGTAGTTCCAAAACTTTTAGAAGAGCACTCTTAGCTTTTTAAGAATACAGTTTGTCTGAGGAAGTTCTAAAAAGCTAGTTCAAGTGCTTTGCCTGGTTTCGTGAATAGGAGAAGCTCGTGTTTCGTGTGTCGATAGTCAGAGCGGTTCTCTTCGAGTTGGCAAGGTGGTCATCTTCCGATTCGTTCGTCGAAGGAAGGTTTTATCTATCTGTTTTTATTCACTCTTATTGTAATTTGTGAAACTGATTTTAGTGAAAACGTTTATCACTTTTTATAGTGATTAACAACTGGACGTAGATTCTTTTGAATCGAACCAGGATAAAAATCCAGTGTGTCACTTTTTCTTCTCCCTGTACTCTTTACTGTTTTATGCACATCAACTGTTTGACAAATTTTCTCTAAGAAAATTAAATTTCTAAAACGGACCATCTTATTACGAGTTTGACCGAACACGCTTTCCGCTTCATTAATTTATTCCGCTGCATGACTCTGTAACGATACCGATTGTTCCTACACAGTCTCATTCAACCAATGGATTCTTAACGCCTTGTCACCCTTATCAATCGCTGGTGTGTCATCACAAGGAATGAAGATCGTTGAGGTTGTCCTAATGCACAAGGAAACATGGTGGGATGAGTGGGATTTCACTAACGACGATGATTTGGCAATGAGAAAGATTATATTTGATATACTCGTAGTTTTGTGGAATCTAAGGAAGGTACTACTAAATTGAAGGATATCATTGATCTGTATATTATTATTTTTTAATTGATTATGGTAGTTGTGAGTCTTGCATTCAATATCTACAATCTTTCATCCATTATACATTCTTTTACATCCATTAAACTTGTTTGGAATAGTATATAATTAGGATTTCAAACCCCAATAGTTAGCTAATGTTACTATTTCTGAACTCAACTATTGATTTTGTGTTATCTAATATGCTTTTGATCATAGTTGCATCTTCATATCACTAGTGCAAAAAATACTTTTATAGATACTTTTTATACTGGTTATGATCCATCCTATATAAAAAGTAGCGTAGTGACATAACTGTAAATATTGTAAAACTTTCCATGCGGGTTCTAGATTCAACCAATATAGAAAGTGGCATGATGGTGTGGACACCATAGTTGAATCTCAAGGACGCGGTGTGGAGGCGCGACTTCACTTTTGGAGCTCGTGAAGGCTGCTTGGGGAATGTGGGAACATCTTCTTCTCCTTCCTTGGGTCTCCTTCTTCCATCTTCCATTTTTGTAAGCTTTGAGGATCTCCATGAAATTGGAGAGCCAAACCCATTTTGTTTGGGGTAGATTTAACTATTGAACTCTCTTGTACCCTATAAATGCTTTGATTATATATATATGCATCTTCATTTAAATGTTAATTTCTTGTTTTTACTCTTAATGCTTGTGGGGATGAGAACGTTCTTAGCTCGATTTGCGCTTTCGTTAGGTTTTGGAAAAAATCTAGTGAACCCTAGGCTTGAAACAAGAGATCTAGTGGGACTTGTGTTTAAAGATGGAACATAACCCATTAGTTGTATAAAACTGATAGGCTGTCATTGAAGCTATCAAATTAATACTACTTGTCAAGGCAACTTCAGTATTGCCTAGTAGTATTCAAGAAAGTAGACAGGGTTGAAGTAACCTTGAGTCATCTCCCAACGAACACAGAATTGCTTTTGAATATCTGTGACTCTTACGATTGCTATGCAATGCTTATGAATAAAAGTAATGGTTGAAGAGTGTTTAAATAATAAATAAGAAACTTAAAAACAGTTACGATGAAATAGGCTAATTCCACTGCTTTTCCAAGATAGATTCATCATCGGTTATTCCCGGATAATTGTTCAATTGATTATTGTTTAAGTTTCAAATTAATTAAAGTACATTCTTAATTAATTTGAGGGCGATCATGCATTTAACCAAAGTAAATTCTCAATCAAATGCAAAACCTTTCTAGATTATTCACAATAAATTCAACCAAAGTAAATTCTCAATCAAATTCTATTGTGTTTAAACATGTCTATTCTTAAATCTCTTAACCAAATTAAAAGCTAATCAATCAAAGTAAATTCTCAATTGATTATAGTTGACATTATTACTAATCAATCAAAGTACATTCTCAATTGAAAGTAAAAACCATTTAATCATATGAAAGTTTCTAAATTAAATCAAAGTAGATTCTCAATTAAACCTAGAAACCCTAGAACTCATATAATCAATATGCATGTAGATTCAAACACATTATGATGGAAAAATCTTTGCTTTTAATTTGGTAGAGAGATGAAAGACATAGAGAAAACAACTTAAATCAATAATCAAAATAAACAATTGCATTAACTCAATCTAACCTCAGAATCCATAATGGAATTACAGCAGAATTAGCCCTAAAATGCTTAGCTCTCCATGAATGGAGTTGAATACAAGATGAAAGAAAAGTGAGAGGAGTATGAGAGAGAATGAATGTATGAAGTGAAGTCCCCTTTTCTGCCTCCCTTGGGTCTCTTTATATAGGCTTGATTGGGCTTGGACTTTGAATAGTTTGTTGATAAGATATTTTCTGTTGATATATTATATCTTTCAAATATTCATTAGATTAAATCAGTTTCAAAGAATATTTGATAGATATTAACTTAATTATCTTATATCCTATATCTTCCAAATAACTAAAAGATTTAGATAATGATAAAATTATTTGGAAGATATTTTCTGTTGATATTCCCAAATTAAATTCAACAACTGAATTTTATCTTTTAGATTTTCTGACTTTCCAAAATTGCACAAATACCCTGAAATTTCCTCTATCTGCACTTTAGCCCCTTCTGAATTTTCCAAATAAAATCTGACTTTGGGCCTTGAATTGCCATTTGGACCAATAAAACTTATATTCTCAGCTGCACAAATAAACATTAGAAAATCCAAGAATAATTTATGCATTAAAACTCACTTTTTACGTCTCTTTATTTTCCAAAGCCAATAATTCCAATCATCACAAATTCACTTAAAATAAACCATTTAAACACAATTATCCCATCAAAATTTTAATTTTCAAACATAAATGTGGGCATAAATATGCACTCATCACACCCCCACACTTATCCTTTTGCACTCCTGGGCAAAATTGATTAATTCCAAGACTTTGTTCTGAGTCATTTTATTTCATATTTGCACTTGGATCAAAAGAATGAGTAGCACTAGACATAGATCAATCATTTAGGCATTACTTTGTCATGGACATGCAAATGGAATCACTTTATTCTTCACACATGAGTTAACCTTTTTGAATTCCCAAGAAAATCAAATATGAAAGACAACACTCAAGTCAACATGTATCTATTTCTCCTGAACTGTCTCAAGTGTTTTTCGCTTGTGTTTACACTCAAAATACCCATGTAAGTAGACACCCTTGATATTTAGCAAGACTCTAACATTCACACACTTCAGTAAACATGCAATTATTGATCATGAGGGCTTTTTAAGGTTTTATTGAGGCCAAGGCAAAGGTAGGAAATTTTCTTGGGAATCTGAGCTTTTGAAATTGACATAGAAAGAGTAATGACACTTGATTTCAAAAACAACTCTATTTCTTGCTCTTTTAAGGAAGATTTTTTTTTCTTCTTTTTTTTTCTCTTTTGTTTTAAAACTTCAACTTTTTCATCTTCCTTTTTACCCTTTTTATTGTTTTGTGGGTGAGGTACTCACCCACACACTTATTCATCACTTTACTTTTAACAGAATCCATTACTCTTTCTTCTTTCCTAAGGTAAGGAACATATGATTTTTCTTCTTTTCTCATTTGACAATGACTGGAAACAAGAAAAATAGGCTTAAGGCTCAAAGAGGGTTCCAATGGATTAATGTTAGGACAAGTTTATTTGGCCAAGTAGCTAAAACAAGAAATGCCTCAATCATATCAAATCATGCATATTCACCTCTGTTGCACAACATAGAATCAAGCTAACTATTAGAGTATCAACAAAACATGGGCAAATCACAAAAAAAAAATAGGTATGGCACATGGTGGTCCATCCTTAACATTAAGCCCAAAACTCACATGGTTTCAAATTTCTTTCACAAAAGATTTAATCAGGAAATTCTCAAGTCAACTCAATTAGCAAATCATAGAAGCAATCCACTCATATCAACATGACTCCTTTTTTTTTTCTCTTGAATTCATGATCATTCCAGTTACTGATTCAAACTCTCAAATCCAATGCAAATATTTATTTAAAACAAACAAAATAGACAAACAAAATAGGGAACAAAATTAATTGTTTCCCCACACCCCCACACTTAAACTATGCATTGTCCTCAATGTATGCCTTATATATAAAATGCAAAGAAAAAGTATGGGGGAACTTACCTCCTTCATGGTGGAAGGAATGCTAGTAGGACTTCATTGGAAAAGTCATCCTGGATAGGAATGTTATCTTTTCCTTTTTCAATCCTACTAAGATGGTCAACTACTACATTATGTGACCCACCTCTGTCTTGAATAGGAGTCAACTTGTCCTTCTGGTTCTTGACCATTGTGATTCCATATTTCTTGGGAACCACATGTATAAGGTCCACCCAAGTGCTGTCAGAATTTGAATATTTAAGACCTGTTTGTAGCAACTTGGTGTCCTTTTTCTTTACAACCCCCATCAGTTGAGGATTTAGTCTTCCTTGAGGTTGTCTCACTGGTTTAGCATCCTTCTCCAAAACGGGTGGCTGTACCACAGATGGCAACATCTTACTGCCTAAGGTATTCTCGGCCACCTTAACATCACACTCGGACGCCACAAAGGTATCATCTATTAATACCGCGTCCTCAATATCACCTGCTTTACAGTTTCCTTTTTCGTCCAAAATTAGGGACGACATATTTGAAAAAGAAAAATTGTTTACAACATCACTTGATAAATCAATACAAAACAAAGAATGATCTTTAATCTGGTGCTTCCCAGCTTCCAACACGTTGAACCGCACCTTCTCGTCTCCTATCTCCATTGTCAGTGATCCTGCATGCACATCTATCTTGGTTCGTGCTGTCATCATGAAAGGTCTTCCCAAGATAATAGTTGTTGGACTGATTCCCTCATCATCCTTCATGTCCAAGATATAGAAATCTGCAGGAAAAATTAACTTGTCTACTCGGACAAGAACGTCCTCAAGCACACCTGCAGGGTTAACTGTGCTACGGTTGGCCAGTTGAATGACCACACCAGTAGTCTTAAGAGGTCCCAAAGATAGAGAAGTAAACACTGATAAAGGCATTACATTTATGGAAGCCCCTAAATCTAGCATGGCATTGTCAAACTTTGAATTTCCAATAACACATGGAACAGAAAACATACCTGGATCCTTGCATTTTCGCGGTATTTCAATATGCTTCTTAATCAAACTTGACACATTTCTTCCCAAATTCACAACCTCATTATCCCTAAAACGCCTTCTATTTGTGCAAATTTCTTTCAAAAACTTGGCATATTTAGGAATTTGCTTAACAGCATCTAGCAAAGGAATATTGATCTCCACCTTTTTGAAAATATTTAAAATCTCTTGGTCTAATTCCTCCATTTTTTTGTTTCTCGGCTTCAACCGATTTGGATATGGAGGAGGTGGAGAATAAGAAGAAGAAGTTTTAGAAGAAGAGTTAGAAGATACTAACCTGGATTTATCAGTGGTAGTCTCAGGTGATGGTTCACTCGGTCCTCCATTGTCATCAATTTGCGCTCCTTCTTTCTCCTTATCTTCATCCTCTTGGGCTCCTTCAGGGCTTTCTACTTGCTTACCCGTTCTCAAAGTAATAGCACTTACATTTTGCGGGTTGATCACTGTTTGTGCAGGCAGTTTGTTTGATTCCTTAGCCTCTAATTTTTCCACCCTCTGAGTCAACTCTACAATTGATTTCTTGATTTCTGAATTTTGCTCAAGTATTGTTTTCATGAAATCTTGTAGTGACATTTCAGGTTGAGGTTGCTGCCTTTGTTGAGGTGGAACATAAGGTTGTTTATTCTGTTGATACCTATTGGAGGATGAGTCATGATAATTCTGGTATGGTCTATTTCCTCCAATCATGTTTGCAGCAAAAGCTTGAGATGAGTTTTCCACAGTGGTTTCCACCAAGCTAGGACATTCATCAGTATAATGGTTAGTTGAAATGCAAATTCCACACTTCTTAGCAATTTGTGGAGTTGAGGTTTTAAACAAACTTGCAATCTCGTCAAGTTTGCTTTCTAGCTTATTCAGTCTTTCATCTATCCTCTTTCCATCAACTGCACCATTATCAATTTCATGCACTCCCTTCAACAAAGTCACTGAATTTTCTCTTGTGCCATACTGTTGATTGTCTACTGCCTTCCGTTCTATTAGATCTATACCATCTTCTGGTGACCTGTCTAAGAAAGATCCTCCGCTTGCAGCATCTGCCCATGACCTATCAGTAGGACTTAAGCCTTCATAAAAGCTTAGAATAAAATCTTCCATTTGGAGTTGAGGGCATGAAGAACATAATTTCTTGAATCTTTCCCAATATTCACTAAGATTCTCTCTATCTCTCTGTCTTATATCTTGAATTTCTCTGCGGATAGCTGATAATCTGGATGCAGGAAAATACTTCTCAAGAAAGAGTCTTTCAATAGTTTCCCAATTTGTAATCCGTGCAGAGAGATAATACCACCAATCTTGAGCTGCGCCTTGAAGAGTAAAAGGAAAAGCTCTCATTTTAAGGCTCTCTATTGTGATCCTGGGAGATCTAAAGTTTTCACACAACATGTGAAATTGTCTCAAGTGCTTGTGTGGATTCTCCCTTGATAACCCATTGAACTTTGGTAAGGCATTTAACAGGTCAGGTCTCAACTCCCACTCCTCATTAGGGTATTCAATGTTACTTCGGATAGCTGTATTGTGGGAGGTGGCTAACTGTCTGATGGTTCTTTGTGCCATATTATTTGGGTTAGGATCAGGTAAAGGATTGGATGATATGTTTGTGACTGGAGATAATGAAGGTGGTATGACTTCAGATGTAGGAAGTGTTCCCTCAGTAGAACACCCAAATTTCAATCTTCTCCGCAGCTTACGCAAATTCCTTTCAACTTCCGGGTTAATTTGATAAAATTCTCCCGGGTTAGCTCTGGTCATGCACTACGCAATCTGCTGGAAATTGTTCCTCTGTTACTTATCTTTTTCTTTTGTTCTTGCTTTAGATAAAGATTTCAAATAAGAGATAAGAGAGACTTGTTGGGTCCACTCCCAGGAAAGAGAGGTGCGTCACAACGGACAACTTAAGTACCAAGTCTTTCCTAGCCAGAGTGTATTCAAACTAGCCTCAAGTATTTCTCAAGAGAAATTCTTAATAAAAACAAGAAAAAAGATTTTTGCTAAAACAAGAATGACTAAAGGCTACAAAATAACTCAAATTAAATTAAATGTATGTGCGTTAAATAAAACAAAATAAAGATAAAAATAAAAAATAAAAAAATAAAAAAATAAAAAGAAAAATCAAAATAAGAATCAAAATATTTAAAATACTAACCGTATTCCCCGGCAACGGCGCCAAATTTGATAGGCTGTCGTTGAAGCTATCAAATTAATACTACTTTTCAAGGCAACTTCAGTATTGCCAAGTAGTATTCAAGAAAGTAGACAGGGTTGAAGTAACCCTGAGTCGTCTCCCAACGAACACGGAATTGCTTTTGAATATCTGTGACTCTTACGAATGCTATGCAATGCTTATGAATAAAAGTAATGGTTGAAGAGTGTTTAAAGAATAAATAAGAAACTTAAAAACAGTTACGATGAAATAGGCTAATTCCACTGCTTTTCCAAGATAGATTCATCATCGGTTATTCACGGATAATTGTTCAATTGATTATTGTTTAAGTTTCAAATTAATTAAAGTACATTCTTAATTAATTTGAGGGCGATCATGCATTTAACCAAAGTAAATTCTCAATCAAATGCAAAACCTTTCTAGATTATTCACAATAAATTCAACCAAAGTACATTCTCAATCAAATTCTATTGTGTTTAATCATGTCTATTCTTAAATCTCCTAACCAAATTAAAAGCTAATCAATCAAAGTAAATTCTCAATTGATTATAGTTGAAATTATTACTAATCAATCAAAGTACATTCTCAATTGATAGTAAAAACCATTTAATCATATGAAAGTTCCTAAATTAAATCAAAGTAGATTCTCAATTTAAACCTAGAAACCCTAAAACTCATATAATCAATATGCATGTAGATTCAAACATATTATGATGCAAAAATCTTTGCTTTTAACAAGATAGAGAGATGAAAGACATAGAGAGAACAACTTAAATCAATAATCAAAGTAAACAATTGCATTAACTGAACGTAACCTCAGAATCCGTCATGGAATTACAGCAGAATAGCCCTAGATGCTTAGCTCTCCATGAATGGAGTTGAATACAAGATGAAAGAAAAGTGAGAGGAGTATGAGAGAATGAATGAATTAAGTGAAGTCCCCTTTTTCTGCCTCCCTTGGGTCTCTTTATATAGGCTTGATTGGGCTTGGACTCTGAATAGTTTGTTGATAAGATATTTTCTGTTGATATATTATATCTTTCAAATATTCATTAGATTAAATCAGTTTTAAAGAATATTTGATAGATATTAACTTAATTATCTTATATCCTATATCTTCCAAATAACTAAAAGATTTAGATAAAAAATTATTTGGAAGATATTTTCTGTTGATATTCCCAAATTAAATTCAACAACTGAATTTTATCTTTTAGATTTTCTAACTTTCCAAAATGGCACAAATACCCTGAAATTTCCTCTATCTGCACTTTAGCCCCTTCTGAATTTTCCAAATAAAATCTGATTTTGGGCCTTGAATTGCCATTTGGACCAATAAAACTTATATTCTCAGCTGCACAAATAAACATTAGAACATCCAAGAATAATTTATGCACTAAAACTCACTTTTTACGTCTCTTTATTTTCCAAAACCCAACAATTCCAATCATCACAAATTCACTTAAAATCAACCATTTAAGCACAATTATCCCATCAAAAATTTGAATTTTAAAGCATAAATGTGGGCATAAATATGCACTCATCAAAAACCCCAGGCCTTAATGCGGGTTCACTTGTTGAGTGATTAAGAGATTGACGCTTAGTTTATGTTTATGATGTTCGTGATGAGATTGGGGATCTAGGGCTGAAGATCAAGGATCAAGTAATTTAAGAAGATTAAATTGTTTGTGTTATAAATTAGGAACTCTATTATTATTATTTATATGTATGAGGTGTTTGATCATTGTTGATATAATTAGTATGTATGTATCTTGTTTTTATGATTTTTTTATTGGTAGCTTACCTCACACATGTTTGTTTTTGTGTGTTTGTAAATAAATTATTGACGATGATCATATAATGTGTTATTGTTGAGAATTTGGCAAGTATACCAAATCTTTTCAAGTAATAAAACCGGTAAGACCGAATATCGTTTCCCAAGAGACTCGTGTCACCAAATAATCGTATAATTTCCAGCTAACTTAGACTAAAGAATGCTTCATAATTTAGGTTTTTGTGCAATTAAAGTAAACATGCAAAGTAACTGATAAAAGTGATCTTTTTGATACTCAAACACTTGGAAATGGTAAGATTTGAAATGATATGGAATGGTATTGTTGGGTGTATGATTTCACCTACTTCATTCTTATGTAAAGAAATTCACTTCCTCTTCATTAATATGCCAATGTCAATCTACTAAATTACTCAAACCCAATCCCTTGGTAGAGAGAGCCTATACTTCTTTATTAGGCTCCAATCCCTTGGAAGACCTAACAATTATTTTCGCATTAAGAATTGAGATTTAAGACAACCAAAGGTCCTTGTTCTATCCCTAGATACTATTTCCTTTAGGTGTTTAATCCAAGTTCAGATTTCCCCAACATTTCCCAATATCAAGCAAACCTTAAAATCGTGTCATGAGTAGCTATTTCACAACAAGCATTAAGAAAAGAAATTAAACTCTCACAATCAATGAAAAAGGCATATATTCATTCAAAATAAAGTAGTTTACATAAGATTTCAGTGGCTACATTAATCCCCCAACAACAATGTAAATCCTTAGAAACTCTCTTGTATGAAATTTGTTCTTCAAGATCATTTTTATGATACATGCTTTCTTTCATTAATAGTTAGGGTTTTTCCTCTTTGGTCAAAGCATGCATTGTTTAACTCATTCGATGTCATGATTATTGGTTTTGTCGATATGGACACATACAGGAAAATCTAGATCTGGGGAATCTCTCCCATCAGTATATTACAAACCTAGACATAGGAGTATGATAGTTGGTTTCCTTTAAGCTTCTGTTCACTATAATGCATGATTAATTGCTAGGGAGACAAGACATTGTAAACTTGTGATTATGATTAAGCTTTCTTCGCCGAGACATCGGGTTTTAAGTAATTTAGAAAGTGGCATTAACATTAATGAATTCCTAAATACAAGAGAGTGGATAGGATGAAATTGATAAACCCCAACAACATATTCATCCATATATTTCAATTCATGTGTTTTGTTTCTTCTTGCCCATTGATCATCACATGCATACATATTTACTTTTCAGCCTTTTGCATTTGAAACTTACAACAATTTGTTTACAAGTCTTAATTAATCAATAAATCACATAACTGTCTAGGCCGTGAGTCCTTTGGGAGAACGATACTTGGTCTTACCAGGATTATTACTTGATACGATTCGGTTACACTTGCCGAGGGTTAACAAGTTTTTGACTCCGTTTTCGGGGATCGAAGATTTGTTCATCAGCCAGCCACGCCGGTGCCTCCAACGAAAGAACCCGCGCCCTTCACGACTGACCGACCTCTCCCAGTCGTGAACCCTAACACCTTGGCACCCCAACCATCGCTAGCTGAAGACGCCGCCGGTGACACTAAATACTTATGACATTATTTCTCCCAACTAAGTCGGTGACACTGATCGTCACCGCTAACCGCGGTTCCGTCAACGCCTTCGTCTTCATTTTTCACTTCTCCACGCGAGTATCATCATCTTTCATTTTAAGGTGGATAACTAATTGTTTAACTATTAAAAATCTTTTGCTACAGGTATAATGCAACCTTTAGCATTAAGAAATCTCCCACTGGATGTGTTGGAAGCTATTCTCCCTATAATAATAACTTAGAAGTTACAAAGAAAGACTCATCTCATGATATTCAATCTCATTCAAGCGACAATCTTCCTAACCAAAATTCAAATGGTGCTACCAATAACATTGATATGGGTTCCACTACTAATAATGCTTATGCTAAATCTGAAGTTATAAGTTTGCTAGCAGTGGCTTCAACCAAATGTTTGCACCAAACATCCACTTTCCAGCCTATAAAAAACATCCTTATTTGCATCAATAGAAGTGTTTCAGGAAGCAACAATTGAAGCAATAGCCAAAATGGGAGAAACAACAGTTAATGCTGGACGAACAAACATGGAAAGCGACAATGGACTCTCTAGAAATAGTGGTAGTGGTGATGCTAGTGGAAGTAGAACTGTCGCGTGGTGGAGGAAGTTCATAGAAAAAGAGTTGACTCAGTTTCAGAAAGAGAGAAAATCATGTGGCACACCGTTAGCCAGCTCAGTCTGTTTTAAACGACGTTAATTAGTTTTGGAAGATGAAATATTACAGTTTCCTTAAGAATAAGGATCAAAGTCTACCAAAGTTTAAAAGAGAGAATAAAAACAAAATCGCAAAATAGTTTAGGGATTAGAAATATATTTAATCCAAATATAAATTGTAAAACCATTTCTTAATAATTTAAATCATATTAATTTAACTTTAAGTCTGTTTGAATTGATTTATTTTAAATTCATATTTATATTTTTATTTCAAATACAATCCACCTAGGTTTCGATTAAATTTATATTGAATCATATTTTCGATTTTGAAATTTAAAATCACAATGCATCTAAGTTCAACTCAAGTCAAATTAAATCAGTTTTGAGTCCAAAGTTGTGTTAAGTTAATTCAAGATGAAGGTTAAACCAAATTGACTTAGGTAGAGTCGGGTATGCTAGACCAAATCTCTTTAAGTCTCTTTCTCGTAGTGCCTTTTTTGGTTTAATTGATGGGTTATGCTGTTT